ATTGTCCAATGCATATCCAAACACGCCACTACCGACTCACATTTGATCCAGACAACACGTATCATCACATCATCAAAAGCCTATCAGAGCTGGCAACTGTGTCAAATCTCTCTGCCGTCCCGCCCCCGCTGCCACTAGGCTGCAATACCGCCCACGCTCCCCATGATTGTCAACTGGCTGCAGGCCGCTGTGACGTCTGGCTAAGCGCCCATCGACGCCACGTTCAGCATTTGTGGGCCATTTATCGGACACCAGTTGGGATCAATGCGACGCGCGCGGCACAGTGGGTGGCATGGCAGCTCCCGGGGAGCATCACCGATCTGCGACCGGTATCATTAATCCTCGGCTAGTCACAGACAGACAGACGGGCAGGCAGACAGACAGACAGGCAGGCAGGCAGACAGGCAGACAGGCGCCCCACCACCCACGCCATTCGAACAGTACCGATCAACAGGCCGCCATAGAGAGCTCATTGGGACTGCAGCTGGCCCAGGCAGCTTAATCAATGTGTGGTCCCTCGTCAAACTCCACCCATACCGCCCTGGAGTCTGGAAGTTTGGCATTCCCAGAATTTCCGCCTGAGCATATTTACTTCCCACTGAGACCATCCTGTTGTCATTCAAATGAATACACCCATACCGTCGGAAGAAATATGAATCAACATGCAAATCAGGCTCCCACTCCCTCTTCGCTGCCAGCCAACGGGCGGGTTTTTGCACCACGATATTACGTCATAGTGACGTAACACTCAGGGAGGAAGGGAGGTTCACATCAAGGCTCTATAGAAGTTCACATAGGGGTCCGGGTGGGATCCCATGACCCAAGGCCAGTGACCGCCGCCACTTACTGCGGTTAGCCGTGGCTATTTCACAGCGGGTAGCGCGCGAGTAGGGTAGACGGGGCGAGAAGACATTGGTCAGACAGGCCACAGGGTGCATCGGATAAAAAGAGCAAAGGAGCATACCGGACAAAGGGTATTACAAAGGCGAACAGGTTTAGCGGACAAGGGCGGCCAGGTATACCGGACGAGGGTGGGCAGGTATACCGGGACATATGTACCGGACAAGGCGGATAGGTATGCCGGACAAAGGCGGACAGGTTTACCGAACAAATGCAGACATGCATACCAGACAAATGTGGAGGGTGTTGCGGGCAAGGCGTACAGGCATACCGGACAGATACAATACAATGCACCTCGCAAGAACAAAAGGTAGTCTGTGTGTAATCAAGGCACGGCACAAGACAGCTACAAAACGCCAGATGGGCTTAGCATGTCCCATGATAGACCCAAAAGTTAACTTCATAAGGCTGCAGCCTCAGGTATGTATAGGTACGGCTGTAGGTAAGGTATGGAATAAAGGCGCTATGCTTAGGCCACAATGTACGAACTTTAAATACTTTTCAACGTCCAGCGGCCATTTAATGTACCACTTGAATTGATTTATGATTTTCGCATAGCGCGCTAATGGTCTTATGACAGAAGGTACGTTAATTGTTCACAGACTGAACTAATTTCGTTACGGCGAATGAAAAGAAAAGAATGGGGCTCGGTTGAATAGGAGGAGGCCACAACGGGACCGGTCTTTCAGGTCGAGTGACAGCAAGAACGGAACGTTTTGTCCTCCCTTTCACAGCTGTGTCTTTATTAATACATGTGTTTGATTCATTTATTACAAAAACTGATGGAGCGTAAAAACGCGCCAAGTGACCCCGACGATGGTGTCGTAAGTCTTTTGACGGCTTACGACAGTCTAACGATCGCTCCTGAGACTATTCGACTAGCTGAGCACATCCACCAAATCCGATTGTGACAGAATCGACTCGTCATCCAAAGAGCCTCATGCTTACGTATTGGGATACACCAAATCCCTCTAGCTATCAAACTAATCCCGCATTGCTTATACCTTCTGAGCCGTTCCTCAAGTGGTTGAGCGCAGTCAGCCCACGGATCACATAAAACATTCGACAGTGGGTCCAATCGAGGACAGCGACCCCTCCATTAACTCGTAGGGACCCACGGCGTAACCACACCATTAGCAGCACCGTGAGGAGGCTCGCAGTGGTCACGGGCTACCGAGCGTGACACGATAGCGCCGGCCGCAGGCATGTCAGCTGGGGCCTCTGAGGAACGCAGATAACGGGAGGGAGTCTTTAGTGCCGGAGACGGGCAGGGGTGCGCTAGAACAGAGGGACTATACCCGGAACTCAGGAGGGAGACACCAGGAGCTTTGAGAAGACTCGTGGAGATTCGTGGAGAGTCATGTTCCATGAAGATTTATAGAGATTGAGAATCGCAGGAACTGACTGGCGACTGCATATCATCATTTATAAAGTCGGAATAAATGCCACGGAGACTAAATCACTATTAAAGATCACGGAACCTCACAATGCTCAGAGCCTCACATTAAGTCCGAGGGCCTCGCGGAATCCTTCGTCACAACCTCAAGAAGACAGTATGGCCCACAAAACACACGGAACCTTGTTCGGTGGAGCACAAATGAGCGTGACTGCGGCTGACAGGCCCCGGCCGCTCCCGACGGGGCCCCGATGGATCGTCGGACCGACGCTGTACCGACGAGGGGGCACTCATGAGCGGCCTGGGGGCGTAGGGGTGGTCGCCCGCTCCGTCCAAATGGGGCCCGTCGACGGTCACGGTCGACGGTGTGGGTCGAAGCCGACGTTCACGGTCGTCGGAGCCGACGTTAGCAGTCGTCGGAGCCGACGTTTGCGGTGGTCGAAACGGCACCGACGCGCCGCGGAGCTAGGTTGGAGTGATTAACGGTGCGAGCGGGAGCTAATAATGAGCTATCCGCGGTGACGGAGATGACTTCAGACAATTCAGAACTGGATTATGTGGAGCCAGAAATGGCACGGAGGAGAGATTGGATAGAGCTTCGGACTCCAGCGCTCTCACATGCTATGGTAGAGAGCTGAGGATAACCTTGGCTGCAACAAGCAGCATGCATGCACTGGTACAGCACGATTTGCACTGTGCAAATCGTGAATTATGAATGTATGCTATTGCTAGAGCCAACAAAGGCACGCCCTGCCTTCGTCCACTTCTGACACTCCTTGCAGCTTAAATATATTGCTGGGCAGTGGTGCAGGCATACCAGCTTCAATGTACGGCGCTGTTCCGAACAAAACCACCAGCCTCTGAACACAAGGGAAGCCGCGGCGAGACGGGAAGTGAGAATTCCTCGAAGGGCATCAGACCTTTTGGAGTCTGCTGTTGGCCAGTTTCATTTGGCCGTTTCTGTGAACTCGACTGGTCGCTCCAATGGTGACCTTTGCATGCAATATTGCCTGCAGTGCATGTCCGGTCACAGTGGGGTGGGCCGGGGGGGGGAGAAAGGGCGGCAGGGGCGGGTTGAACAGTGCAGTCCGCTCATTTCATGCCGTGATAAATGTACCAGTTTAACTCCCGCAGGAAATGAGCGCATTGGGCGCTCATAAATTTACCAGTGTGCTGATTTCTGGAGTCGGTCCGTGTCTGTCTATCCATCTATCTATGTGATTGTCTGTCTGTGTCTCAACTCTTCACCGCAGGGCGATGTCGTCAGCTCAATCAGCCGCGAGTGACCGGCGACTCCCTCGACCCGTCCACCCACGCGGTGGTTTTAGAACGACGCAACAGGTTAGGATAAAGACTGAGGGCTCGTCGGGACCGCAAATGGACTTCCTCTGGACCTTGTTGGGACCACGCCGAGACCACGCCGAGACTAGGACCAGACGGGACCAGGACCGGACCAGCTCGGCTATCATCAGCCAGTCATCCAAGGCCGCACGAAATGGGCGTGCCCGCCGGTCCCAACCGGACTCCGCCCTTTGCCACTAAAAATGGGCAGTCATCGCGGACCGGGCCGATCACCGCTCACGCATGTGCCCCCCCCCCCCCCCCAGACCAGGACTGCTGACAGCTGACATTGGTCAGCGGGTATCGGTCAGTGACCAGTAGTCGAACAGCAGCGGGGCTAGACGGACCGCTCCAGCAGAAGCTCCGCGGCCCGCGACTGTCACCTCGCGCTCGAAGGTCACAGTGCGGTCCGGGACCGGGCGAGCAGCAGTCATATGACGCAAGTCATGTGACGAGGAAGATGGCTCCTCAGCTCGGCCGGCCGAGCCGCCTGCTCAGCGCTCAGCAGTCGCGGCGCCACCGCAGCGATTCTTATCGCGAAACGTGCCGGCCGAATACGGAAAGCCGCCCCAGCAGGCCGGAATGTGGCTCACCGGCAGTGGCGCGCCCAGTTTTACGGACCTGGCCGAACGCGAATCGACCCAACTGTGCCCCGATTAAAAATAATAGAGGCCATGGCAGTAGGAATGTGTCAGCATGGGGCTACTGCGTGTGAGTGACTTGCGTTTTTACGTAACTCTGCAGCTGCAAGTCGCGCACTTTTCACCGATCACTGGGAAACACTAGACAGGAATGCAGCGGGTCGGGTCGGGTCGTTGGCTCTCACACTCGCCGGTCCTGTGTGTACCGTTGGTATCAGAGCCGGATAGGCGCGGCGCTCGCTCGACGCTCGAGCACAGGTCGCTGTTTGCTCGCGCCGCCCGCCGGCTTGTTGACAGCGGCCGCCGGCGGTCGGTTGGATCGACAACACACCACCCCCGTAAACACATCCCACACACAGCGCCGCCACGGTCGCACGCCGGTGACGGTCACACGGACACACCTGGTCGCGGGCTCACAGAGAGGGGCGCCGGGACTACCTGTGGCCGACAACACAGGGGCGCAGAGGGTAAAAACGTGCAAAACACAGGGACAGCTTATAACAGAGACATACCAATCTCGAGACAATAGAGAGAAGGATTGCAAGATATGACTAGCAGAAAGGTGGCTACAGAACAAAACAATGCATTCATATACTCATTCTGCGTATGACGCCTGGAAAACACCGTCCGCTAATTGGAATCGTTATGTTTATCTGAAAATCCAAAAGTGACATTTCCCAGGTGTCGGTCGCAGAGCGCAGAGCGCAGTGCGCGGGACTGACCTGTGGCAGCCGGCGGTAGTCTGGGAGCCATTCGTGCTGAGGCCGCTCTCCTGGTGGTAGGTCGGTATCCGGGCGGCCGGTACCGCGCCGACCGTCCCGTCTCTGCCAGGCTGGAGACACCCAGCAGAGGAGCGGGCGCCGCTCTCCTCGGCAGCGACAGGGAGCCGGTGGGGTTGTCCGGCGGCCCCGCCGGAGTGGAGCGGGGTAGGGTGGACCGCTGGCCGTCTCCGTCCACTGAGCGACTGGAGAGGGAGCGGGGCAGGGCGCGGGCGGAACGCAGCGGTGCCCGGACGGTCGAGTCTGAGTCCACCTGCTCGGAGGAACTGAACTCGCTGCCCGGCTGGCCGACGGTCAGCGTGCTGCCGCTGCCGGAGGACTTGACACTGACGTCACCCTCCGAGCGCACCCTGCCGCTCAGACGAGCCCACTTGTCATCCGCAGCTTCGGTCGAGCTCGACTTCCCTAAGTCCTGGCAGGAGTCAAACTCCTTCTTCTTCCGCCGCTTGCTGTCGCGGAGAATCTTGTTGAATTCGGCTGCATCTCGTGCAGAGGCCGCAGCCAGATCGCCAGGCGTCGGCAGAACCTTTCTACCCAGGCGTTGTGAGCTGGAGGTAGCGGTGGCATTGCTAAGGACGCGCGCCATCGGAGGAAACCGGGCACTCTTGGCTGCGGAAGACTGGCCGCTGAGCGACCCCGTCTCAGCACCGCTCGAGACCTCTTGCATCAGTGCTACCAGTCGTCTGCCAATGTGGTGCATCACCTTGGCCAGCATCGGCGGGGACGCTGGCGGCGGCTCGGCCGGAGTCTCAGACAAGCCCTTCAGGCTACCCATGAGCTTCTCATAAGCGGCCAGAGAGTCCTGAGCGGCAGGATCGGCGATGGAGGCGGACAGGTTGCCCTTCTGGGCGGCCGAAGCGCTGCCGGTGTCTGCAGGATCATATCGTTGGATGATCTGCTGGCAGCTGTGTGAGATCTGCTGCTGGATCTGCGTCATGATGTCCGGCTGGGCCGGGTTGAGAGCACCATACGCTCCCTCCAGATCACTGCTCGTGTAGTCGGAGCTGTCGTACGAATCGCTCCATGTGTCCTCACTGCTGAGGTACTCAACGATCTCCCGCACCTGAGCATCGTTAATGCCAGGCACGGTCTTCATCAGACGCGTCAGCTCACTCTCAAACAGAGCGAACGGCGTCGGCTTCGTCTTCGGCGTGTTCGGATCGGCACGCTGAGCGTTCGAGATGGTTGTGCGGAAGAAGTGCCGCAGACGACTCATCAGAATGTTGGTCTCCTCGTCAGAACTCCAGTTGTTGAACGAGTCCTTCCTGGAGACCTTATTACGGTTCTTCAGTCCGTTGGGCGGCGAGCGCCCAACTGCTGGAAGGGGTTTGGTCGCGACAGTTGTGGACTTTTTCGCACTCTCCTCGGAGCTGTTAGGTGTCCTCTGTGAACCGCCAACGGACGCGGCTAGTAATTTACCACCCGCCTCGTCAGAAAGACTCGAGTCGGAGGAGCCACGCGCACCACCTCCCTCCGAGCGCTCCTCGGCCTCACGGATCACAGACTCCTTCAGCAAGTCATCGGAACTGCCTAAAAAACCACTGTCACGACTTTGATGTGCTTCACCCGTCTTGCTGATTTGGATGAAGTTCGCTACGACACTGTTTGGGTGGTGCGTCAGCCTCGGAGACTCCGACGACGCCTTTGCCACTGGGGACGCAAAGACGTCCTCCAGCTGGCGAGGCGCCTTATCGCCGGTCTCACGGTCGGACTGTTCGCCAGTCACCATCAGCTTCCTCTTCTTCTTCCTCTTCATGGTGTCCTGGCCGTCGCCCTTCTCGTGAGTTGTCTCATCGAGCACGTCGGTGACAGCGTCCTCCCCACTGGTGGTGTCGCCGCTCTGCTCAGAAACTTCGCGGGCCGACACCTCTCCACCGCTGCCGCCGACGTCGCTCTGGATGCGCGCGCGCGAGCGTGGCACCTTCTTGCGCCGCTGCTCGGGCGACGGCGCGCACTCTGAGTCGCTGCCGACGCTTCCGCTCCCGTCCGTTTGGTTTTCTGAGTCATCAGCGGCCGAGCGGATTGACGGCTGACGATTGAACCCCAGAAAACCCTTCATAAAATACCGCGACGACGCTTGTTCCACCGGATCGACATCGGCGTCCTCGCCCTCAATGAACTCGCTGTAGATCGAGTCGTTGGTCTCGCTGAACGTGTCGCTGTACTCGCTCTCCTCATTGGCATACTTCTTCGGATCGTGCGGTCCGTTGCCGAGATCAAACAAGAAGTACTTCTCGAAGTTGGATGGATTGGCCGTCGGCGTATCGCTCTTGGTGGAGGAGCGATCGCTGTCGCTGTCCTCACAGCTCTCCTCAATGATGGTGGTGAGGGTGAAGTCCAGAGGTCTGGCGTAGCGGAAGTCATCCTCCACATACTCATCGCCAGAGCCATCGCTAAACGAGCCATTCGAGTAGCGCTCGTCTGAGTCAAACTGCTCGTCTTCATCACGGAAGTCGTTCTCGTCATGGAACTCGTCATCATCGTGAAACTCGTCGTCTTCCCCGTCATCGCCGCGAAGGCGAGCACGGAGCGCCTCGACACCCTGTCCGCCAAAGTCAAACCCGTCGTCGAAGTCGTCGGACGCCTCGCTGGCAACGCCATCGGACCGGAGGGTCTCCAGACTGCCCGGCGGCTCTGAGATGTCGTCTTCTCGTGACGGCGTGGACGACGGTGACGCGCCGTCCACGTCGGGGGAACGGCGTGTGTGCCGACGGACCTCGGGGGTGCGTCGCGGGGCGGAGCGCCGAGCCGCAGACGTCTCCTCCAGGCCAGCAAAGTAGTCAGCCAGCTTGGAGGCTGGGTCAGGCGAGAACTCGCGCTCGAGAGTCGGCTTGGCGAGCTCATTGCGCGCCTGCTGCTGCTGCTGCTCACGAGAGCGCTCGATCAGACTGCGCAGCTCGTTGAGCGGCTTAGTGGTCATGCCGTTGGCGTCGCCGTGTGTGTGCGCGACCAACACGGAGTTGGTCTTCTCGTCGGTGACGACCTCGACCTCGTTGGAGGGCGGGCCGGTGGGTTTCTCGGGCGGGACGGTGGGCGCTGGTATGTCGGGCGGCTCGGGTGGCTCGCCGGGGTCGCTGCTCACACGGGCCACAGCCACTGGCTGCCGACCTCCGGCCACAGGGATCACACTCACAAAACCACGCGCCTCTGCGTCTGCACCACTCACTGAGCGCTCGTCGCTCTCGGCCACTCGCCGCTCGCTCACCGCGCCGCTCGCACCGGCCGCACCTTTCCCGCTCGCGGTCTCGCGCTGACTGGCGGCTGCCGCGCGGCGCGGCGCGGCCGGCGCGGCGGGCTCACGGCTGACCCGCGGCGGGCCGGCGTCACCGCTGGCCTTGGCGTCGGGCGAGTTTTTCCCGCCGTCACCGGACGGGTTCGGGGCTGCCGGCGCGCCGCCGCTCTCCCCGGGCTTCAGGTGTCCCGGCGGCCCGGCCGAACCGTCCGATAGTATCGATTGCGCCGTTTCGACGCCAGGTGTGTCGTCGGGTTGCCGGCGGTCGGGCGCACTGACACCGGAGCCGGCCGCGCGCCGCGGAGGCCGGATACCTGCCGGCTTTGCGGGCACGGCTGGCCGCTCGCGAGCCGGGGCTTTAGCTGGTGAGGTGCTGCCGACGCCCGTCCCAATCTCCTTCACAACAGGTCGCGCCGGCCGGGCGGCCGTTTCGCCGCCCATGCGCCCGTCTGAGGACGGTCGGCCATTGTCTAGATTTTTGCCTGTTTCCCGGCTGCGGGCGGCTGACTCAGGTGCGCCAGGGGTCGGCACAGGACCGGTTTTGGTCGCGGCCGGCGGCGCCGCGGCGCTGTCTGACGGCGCGGGGCCGGCAGTCGACACCTGGCGACCCGAGCCGGTCCCCGAGCCGCCGGCCGGCCGTGAGGGCTCCCCTTGTTTGTCTCCCACGGAAGGGGGTTGAATGGCTCCCTTTACCTGCTTTTCCGGAGAGGCCCGCGGCCGCGGCTGAGTCGCGGGCCGGGGGAGAGTTTCCGTGCCGGCCCGCCCCGGCCCGGCGGCAGCGGCAGTAGAGAGTTTCGCCGAGCCACTACTTTCACTCTCAGTCTCGATTCTGGGCGCACCTCTGTCCGAGCCGCTGCGTTTCTTCTCAGCGCCCGGCCGATTAGATTCGCCGGCAGGCATCTCAGAATCAGAGTCAACTTTCGTCTCGATCGCGCACGATTCCATGTCATTCGTGACAGTGTCTTCGGACGCGCTGCGGGCCAGGCTGGCAGATGAAATTTTATCGATCGGCCCGCTCCCATCCTCTGCTTCGGAGTCCGAATCCACCGGTACTTCGGTGAGATTGGATAGCGATATGCAGTCCTGCTCGGACGATTTTTCCGGCTGCATAAACTGCATATCCTCCGGGTCAGAATCAACAGCCGGTTTCTGAATCGGTGGCTCCGGACCCTCTGCTCCCTCCTGACGGCGAAAGTTTGACTCGATCTTTGTCTCAGCGTCATCAGACGAGCGGCGCCCGGTGCGTTTGTACTGTTTGAGCCGTTCAAAGTACTGCAGTACGTCTCCACTAGTGACCTGCGAGCGGTACTGTAGAGCCTCATCCGTCATTTCTCCCTCTGCCGTCCTCTGTTGTTTCTGCTGCTGTTCTGACGGTGTTTGTAAACTCTGCAGAGCGCGTGCTTTTCTATTACGCGCCCTTTCCTCATCATCCGAACTGCTGGCTCCGCTAGGGTCCGTCCTCATCTCCACGGGTCCTCTGCGCGGCGGGGCCACCGGCGGCGGCTCCTGACCGTCTCCGACACTCCTCGTCGCCGTCGGCTCGGCTCGGTCGGCGCGCCGAGGGCGCTCATGCAGACTAGCGTGCCGCTGAGGCTTTCTGCGAGGCGGCGCCTCAGCACGTGTCCCCGTGAAGCTCTTGGAGCGAGTCACTGGCGCAGTGATACGAGTCACCGATCGGTGGACCTGCCTTGGCAGCGTCGCGTACGACGGAACAGTCTGTGTCGGTACCGGCTGCATGTCGTCACCGTCACCAGCGATGATGACTTTAACGCAGTTATCACCGTAAACGATTCTCTGTCCGTCGGCTGTCATGTCGGCAGCGTCTCCAGCGCTCAGTCTCCGTCCCCGCCTGTGCTGACGGATCTCAGACAGCACCAGGTTACGATACCGCTCCAGTAAGGGATCGTGACCGCCGGCGGCTCCTGACTGGGTCTCCAGATCAGCCAGCACCTGACCAAGTGACGCACCACCCGGCCGCTCCATTGAGGACATGATAGCTGATTGGAGAGCCTCGGCCTCAGCCTGCAGCCGCTCCGTTTGGTGCATCATGTTACTCAGCGCTGCGTCATCACTGAAGTCGATCGAGCGAAGGGAATCGGACTCGTCTCCCACCTTGGAACTTCTCTGGACAGATTTTGGAGTGGACTCAGCTATCGGAGCTCCGTCGGCATCGTCGAAAATAAATAGGATTTTGTTGGCATTGCCGGTCACCGGAGGGAATGGCTTTGGACTCGGTCTACCCGAATCCAGCTTAGGAGCGGGCTTTGGTGCTGGTTTTGGTACCGGTTTGGGCGCTGCCTTGCGTGACTTTATCTTGCTGAGATTTTCTCCCTGCGGATTAGGTTTCAAATATTTACCGTCTTTCTTTGTTCCCCGCTCATAATAATCCCAGTCGCTCTCCTCGATAAACCCGTGGCCAGGCTCCGACTCAAACCCGCTGGACTGGGCAGTCGTTTGTTTTCCCCCGGGCACTCTCGGGCTGTCGATTTCACTGGACGAGTTAAATTCAGACTCCTTGGAAGAGTCGGAACTGATAAACACCAGCTTATAGTCGTCACCTTCCGGCTGTATTTTCCCCTGGTCTAGCGCAATATCGCTAGCCGTTTCGTTCGGGGACGGAACCGGCTCACGAGCCGGCGGCTGCGACGCTAGCGCCGCGGTGGCCGGTTTGGGAATCGGAGCTTCCCAGGCTGGTTCGGAGGTGGCGCGCCACGGGTCGGGAGCCACCTCAGTCGGTGAGCTGTTGAGAGTGACTTTGCTGGTCTGCGGCCGTCGCGGCAGTGTGGCAAAGTCAGCGTTCATGTTCACGACAGTCGTGTTCTTCTTCTTTAAATCCTTCAGCTTTCCCGGCCTTGGCAGCGAGCAGAAATCATAGGGCAGGAAGCGATGTTTCTCTGTTGTCGCCGGCGCTCGCTCCTCGGATCCTCCCCTCTTTCCTCTCGCCGTACCGTCCTCCAGCTGGATATCAATCCTCTTCTCCCTCTTCCTCTCCTTCGCCGGCAGCTCTGGCGGCGTCTGTCGAACCGGCCGCGGCTCTGGCACACCCTCCACGTCGATGGCACGCTCGTTGAAATGCCGCGGAATCTCGATATACTCGAGACTTCCTCGCCTCAGTGGCGGCACCTGCTGGGGTGCAATCCTCGTCGCCTCCTGCACTGCCTTCCGATGAATCGCATACTCATCAACAGGTGGTCTGGGCGCCGTGTGACGCGTGTCATACCGTCCCAGACTACTCACACGGGCCACGGGACGGCGAAGGACGTCCAGCGGCAGTCGGGGGCGGGGCGGCGGGGAGCGCACCCGCCCGCGGCCGCCCCCGCCCCCGCCCGGACCCGGCGAGCGGCGCCGCGATCCGGCCGAGCTGGTGGAGCCCGGCGGCGGCGAGGAGTTGAGTAGCACCACGCTGTGACCTAAGATGGGGGGGGGAGGAGAGACGGTTAGAGGACTCTAGGGAGGGGTTACTGGACAGATGCCTAAGTAGTTTACTTCATTGCTACGGTTTTTATCGGGATCTTTACAAAACGAAATGTGTGAAAAATTAGGTGGCATGTACTAAGTTATTATAATAATTTTCTTTTTCTGAGCATTAGTTAAGCATCAAAATATTGAAAATTAATGCTGCAAAATAAGATCAATAATGTTATTGACGCGAATAGCTATACGTAGCCACGCTAGTAATACATATTAACATGTATGCCAAAATAAATTAAAATACTAAATATTTAGAATAAATAAGATGATAACGTACAGAACAATACCTCCATAGCAGCCCAACACAAACTCAGGTGGAATAAAGTGCACAACAAATGTATCTAAAAGCGCGCTGATTAGAATAATGGCATGCAACATGCGGGTTGACCGTGATTGCTTAGCATTTTGGGAAGATCGAACGATTTTTTTTAAACGATACCTTTTTATGAATTAAGATGAAAAAAGTAAAAATGAATCCGACAAATAATTAACAGGACTGCACACCCATAAACTCGTGTTCTAACAAAAAAGAAAGAAAAAAAAAATAACTGAACACCTAGATTGTATACTTATAGTAATAAAATAAATTAAAGTGCACCCCAAACCCCAACTCACATTGCTCACCCTCACTGAATGTGCAGGATCCGAGTACCAACTGCTTTAACACAATTTGATTAACCGAAAGCAGGCATTATGTTACGTTGAATGGCGATTCGATGTGACGGTAACCATACAGCTGTCGCTTTAAAAGTATAACGCTTTGGTAGCAGCATATGATGAAAACAAAATGATAAAATGCAAGGTTTGCGAACATCAATTTTCCTTGATAAAGTTACATGGCAATGAAAAGCACGATTTATTGCACCTATACAAAGGCCGTGAAACTAACATAGCGAAAGCCTGGATAAGGCCTGAAATTCACCCCATACCACAAGTTTATTCAAATTTATTCGCTAAAACAACCAATAGTCTATTACATATAGTCTATAGTCAATCAATAGCATATTTTATAATAATGTTTTAGTATCAATATAATATTTCGTTACCTATGTAATGATACATCGCTCCCTGAAAACAGCATCAAATGGGGGACCCTTGGCATTGCTCGAATTTGTTGTACACACTCTTTGAATTTCTTCTGATTCCTCGCATTTGCCTTCATTGCGTACTCCTGCAAGTTCTTTATCGACTGGAACATTTGTCTGAGTAACACCTAAATTTTCCAAACTATGCGTCTTTAGGCCAAGCAGGTTAGATTCGCTACCAGTACCAGGCTTGCTATCTGCCGCAAAGACAACCGTACTTTTGCCATATGCTGACACCTCTAGCTCCTGTGCCAAGTTGGGATCCTCATAGATGTCGTTGCAGTCGTAAGTTGGCTCGTCGTTTTCTAGGCTGGTCGACCCTGGGTGAAGGAGGAAATGTGAAGAACGGTTAGCTGAAGCGATAGGGCGGAGGAAAGAAAAAGGCATGCAATTAACTACGTGATTATTGTGAAGATTGTGAATGAAAAATAGATAGACTAGGCTGACAGTTAACGATGAGTGAGATAAGTAGGTACTAAGTAGTCAAGCATGCTTGAAATAAATGAATTAAAAGGTAATTTCCTGCATCGAACTGTAAAGGATCCAAGCCTTGATAAGATTTTGCTACTGTTTAAATTTCTGTCATACTTGTCGATTCAAGTTGTAACTTCTTACATTGGAAGGAAAACGGTGAAAGATGCAGTTAGGCAACATGACGACTTTAAGACGACAAGGTACCGGTAGCAGGAACCATGCATATGCACATGTAGACTTCATTCAAGGTAATTGTTCGTAATGAAATTGCGTGAATATAAAAGCATCTACTCAATTTGCATGCATATTTTTGGGTTACGGTTTACCTTTAATAGGTTTAATTTAATGTCGGTAGCTATAGTTTCAACGGTCAAAATGGAAGGAAGTCCTACTAAAAACGGTAATATCGAAATTAAGATGCGATGTAAGAAGGAGGTCATTACAACAATAGAGGATACAGTGCTTCTAAAATCTAATAAGTCCAACCACCATTAAGTTACACCACTAGTTCCATAAGTGTCACTATGTTGACTGTACTGTCACCGCAGTCTGCGGACTTACCTCTATGCGGGCTTCCTTGGGCCGGCTCCTCGCGAGAACGCCGCTTGGCTCGGGCGGCCAGCCTCTTGAAGAAGGTCGGCTCGGCGTCGTGGTCTGTGTCGCTGGCACTGGAGACCCCTGTGGGTCGCCCACCGTCCAGAGAGCCTCGCCTTGGCCGACCGTCGCGGTGCGCTCGCGGTTCGCGCGGCTCCCTCGGGTCGCGATGGTAGTCTCTGATGTCGCGCGGATCGCGGTACTCGCGCTCGTGGCTGCGGCGTCTCTCGCCTTCGCGGCGCCGCTCTCGTGGGTCCGCCTCCCGCCTCTCCCCGTGGTCGCTCTCTGCCCGCCGCCGAGGGCGGTCGTCTGGCCGCTCGCCGGACCGGCGTCCATCCTCACTCTCAGACCGGAATCTCCCCGGATCCTCTCTGAGTCTGTCGACCTCCCGTGGATCCCTCGGATCCCTGGAATCTCTCGCATCCCGTGGGCCCCTCAGATCCTTCATGTCCCTCGGGTCTCTCGGATCCCTATGATCCCTCCATTCCCTCGCGTCTCGCGGATCCCGCGTCGAGTCCGAGAATCCGGGATGAGATCCAGAGCGACGCCTCTCCTCACCCCTATACCTCGGGTCCTCCGACCGGTGCATGTGTCCTCCGGGGCGCCCAGACTGTTGCGGCATCCCCTGAGGGCCCGGACTGGGTTTTCGAGGCGGTTTGGCCGGCGGCGGCGGCCGGCCGTGAGGGGTGAGGTTGGCGTAAATGGGCTCATCGTGGGCGCGATGAGGGCGAGGAAGAGTGGCTGGGTCGACGGGCGACTCTTGTGTGATGAGCACCTTGGTGGTGCGCGGCAGGGTGCGACTGGTGCCCGGTTCCGCCCGAGGGCCTGAGCGGGGGTCCAAGCGGGGGTCGGCCCGGGGGTCTGCCCGGGAGTCGAGTCGCGGGTCGCTGCGGATGTAGGTGACAGACGGCAGACGGACCTGGATGCCACCCGTCTGATCAGCCGTCTGTGGAAGGAAAGTCAGTGTCAGAAAAACGAAGTGAAACACCTAAGAAAATGAGAGCATATCAACCACGTCTCAAACGAACTTGACCTCGCTCTTATGCTCTCATCATTATACACCAAACACAGATCTCTCCAATGAGAGCGGCCCTCAGAGACCCTCCAGTCACACGGAAGCAGCCACTTCGCCCGAGTACAGACGCGGTCTCCACGTCTCCCACAGCTGTGAACCACCGTGAGCGAGCCGCACCGTCTCGTGACCGTCAGTTGCCACTTTGCCAACCGTGCGAATCTCGTGCTCCGAGCCTTTTCCGCTTCGACGGCACGCTCGGAAGCTCTCCCAGCACTGAGGCGTCGCGGACGTCCCGTCGGCAGCGCGCCGTTTGCGACGTATGGGACCAGGCTGCGACCGTGACAGCGTCTGGGAGCGCGGCGCATTCACACAGACGGGGAGGCGCTCCCCTTGGGCGAAGGAGGAACCGGAAGGTCGGCCCCGTGCCATGACCCGACGGTGGGTGGGGATAATCAACTTGTCAGATGGAATGATTGACAAGGTTTGGGAGCGTTGGATGATGAGAACTGGGAGGAAATGACTAACATTTGGCTGTCAGGGTCGTTGTGACATTTGGGGGTTGATTCGTGAAACGTGGTTATGCGACGTCACGAGTTACACAATGGTGCGCGGGCTGCCAACATGTGATTTGGACTAAGCCAGTAGGTACCGTGCGATACTGCACGACTGGCGGTCTGGTGACTGCTTTGGTTCATTCAGTCGCAGAGCACATAAAGGTCATCCCAGCTCAGTGTGTCACACAACCATCGATTTCTAATCGTGCTGTGTCTTACCATGGATTCGTGCGAGGCATAGTGGTGTCTGCGGCCGGGCCGTTTCTGGACGAACGGCGAGTTGGCGGCGCTGGATGAGGTAGTGCTCAGGTCGTCGATACTTCTGGCCTTTCTGTATTCATCTCGATACCTGGACGAAAGAAAAAACAACAGTGTTAACGGCTTGATCTTTGGTTTCCAAATTCTCTTTTAGTTGAACAGCACATTCGGCAGAAAGCAATATTTTTCAATGAACACGTTGAAACATCTGCGCTTCAAGTGAAACTCCTTTGGGTATTCGCAAAACCCGTTCTCCCGGTCCATTCCGCCGAAGGTCAGTTGGTCTAAGATAGTGCCAATCGACCACGCCGATGGGACATTCACAACAATGGATCCATTTCTCAGCCTTAGCCGCTACGGTCACCTCAGGCCAAGTGAGGAAACGTGATGCATGGACGCTCCTATATCGGTGATAATATCGGGCACGTAACCCGTCCTCCGCCCCGCCTCCACCTTAATAGCTCGGCCTGGGGCATCGCCATTTATATAGCGCAACACTACCGCTGGTGCCGTCTAAAAACGGGCATATCTCGCTCACCCAGCGCCGCTTTCCTCACAAATGAGTTAATTTCGGCACATCACTGAAGGAGAGTCTGCTCATACACATCTCAACCCAGCCCCTGGGGCGACCTCTGGATACCGGTAGCGGCCCCTCTCTAGGTATCTCTCTCGTCGGCCGGGATAGAGCGCTCCTAAGAGTCGTTCGGCACTCGGCAGCGCTCTCACTTTCATCTTTAGGTCCCTACAGGCTCGACGGAAGGCTATCAGTATGCATGGGCACGTGTATGAGCGTCTGGCGGCGGAGAGTGTGCTCGATATAAGCAGCGGAGGACTGTGTGTTCAACAGTAGTTCAAAGGCTGTGTTCATAATCAGCAGAAGCGGGAACTCGCAAGGCACAGCACCACTAACGACATGACGCAACAGCGCATACACAGATAGCATCAGTGTTATGTGGCTTAAAGGCCACATACCTAGGGTTGTTGCTAAGCTATGTGTCCTAAGCTTAGCACGGCTAACTGCCAAGCTGAGTGCCAAAATGACATCTGTCGGACCGTTCACCTGTTGTGAGGTGCATTGCAGTCTCGGGAGCCGTGCAATTAATTCCGATCGCGGAGTCAGTCAACTGGAACTAACGCGCCAACCGCGGGGCACCACTCCACCCAGAATAGATCAGTGGCTCGAGACATGGCGCAACAGTCAGGTCAGTCTAACCTAAACCTGCCACAGAATGCCCCTGTAGCCTTAACACAGAAAGGCAATACAACTGGAGCCGCCCGATCGACTTGATTGAATGCTTCGCGCCCGATGGCCTCGGGATACATTTTTCACATTTGACCTCGTGTCATTGTTTATTTCCAAACGTTTTCTTCTGATCTACTTTGCTGAAGCTGCCACAGCCGTTTCAAATAGCAGATGTGCACGTATGCATAACGCATGCTATCAGCACAGCACTTCGGTGTTACCCCGATTTTCCGCTATGCGTTGATCATTGCTGGTTCGAGCCTTCGTGCAGTCGCCCACGTCAATCCTTTTTTGACCCACTTAGTACCGGCTACCAAAGAACTCGCGCGCCCTTCAGATCCACGGAGGAGAGTCTCCGCCCTCAGGACCCGTTCTCCCACGTGCCCGAACCGACAAGGCCCCTCGCTACAACGGGCGACGTCACCCCCCGACCAACAGGAAACCTCTCGGCCGTCACCTTGCGTAGGGGGTAAAATATAGCAGCTCAGCTAACAAGACGTGCGCTGCCAACCGCCAGAGACCGGACGCTCTTTGTGCACGGTCCAAACAAATCGAGACGGCGTCGCCGCTAATACATTAGCGGGCATGTTGCATTAATCCGGGGGAGGACTGCGCACGAAGCTGTGTACCTACATACCTAAGCACGGTCACGCAGTGCTCGGGACTGCCCGAGAACCATTGCAAGAACAGGCGATTAGGGTGTATTGTGTCAACAATTAAAGTAAAGGCGCTGATCCCCGTGTCAGACATGCAACATAGCGAGAATTGCAATGCAAACATTGCGCTTGCATGCACGATGTAGAGGAAAATACCTCGGTGCATTTCGTGTGAATAGCATAGACTAAAGACGAGTTCAAGCAACTATAATTCCTTATAAGGTCATGTACTTGTTTTGTATTTGGTAACTTGTATCGCAGAGCTCGGCCCAGTAAAGCTTCGAATGAGTTCTTCGGTGAGTTTCCTTCACTTTAGCTACATACCTACTTAGTACTTTGCTCAAAATCGTGCATTATAACAAGCCAACCAAACAAAGTTTCTGTGCTATTCTTCGGAACGATCTATAATAAGGTAATAGCTGCTCCACGCACCACGTAGAACAGCCCTTATCGATCTGGCCCAACCCATCAGAAGACTTACCATCCGTTCTCAGCTCCGGACATGCTGGCTCGCCGCGTGGGCTGCCGCTCGGGTCGCGGCCTCGGGCGGGGGCGGGGGCGGGGGCGGCCGTCGGGCAGCTGGCCGCCGCCCTCGCGCCGCGCGCTGTTCACCGGCAGTGCCCTCAGGGCACGCAGGTCGGGGGAGCTCTGGTGGGTATCAGCTGGACCTGAAGACAGACGAGGGAGGCATCCGCTGTGTCAGGCTTATGGGCGGGGAAAAACGAGAGCACTGCGACGCATGGAATGGAGATCATGACATGGCTGCCGAAAATCCAGGAGCGCAATGTCGATGGAATGGGCGGGGAGATGGGAGGAGTGCCACCAAACTGACAGAATGGTTACATCGACACGGACACCAGAGCAGGTTCAAACATTTGGTACACGGCACACCGAGACGTGCGGAGAATGCTGAGTGAGACGAAAGCGGGAGGAAATTCGGAGAGAGAGAGAGAGAGAGAGAGAGAGAGAGAGAGAGAGAGAGAGAGAGAGAGAGAGAGAGAGAGAGAGAGAGAGAGAGAGAGATGAGGACAGGAGATTGGAGACTTGTCTCAAAGCCTGTCAGAGCTCTCAGCATACGGTTTCACCATACACAAACACGCACAAGTGTCCCGCGAACGGCCGCCGTCACCATCGGCGTCACTGTCACTGAGCCTTCCCGCAGCTAGCGTAGAAGAAGGTAGTTTATAGGACCGACCTTACTCTGTGGTCCGACCTTGAGACCCTCCCACCTTCGCGGGGCGGGGACGGGGGACGCCGTGTGGGCAGCGTCAGCCGGCTCAAAATAACGAGCTGCGGCGCATTAATTAGGTCAGAATGTGAACGGCCGGATCAGGGGTGGCACGGACGGCTGAGCGCCGCGTCAAGTGTTCGCTCGGTGGGCTTGGTGATACGGTAGAGTTTCGCACATGGAGGAGCGACTGTGGAAAACTTGACGACTTTGAAAGAGTGTAGAAATTAAGTTTATTTTTTTAATTATGTTGATAAACATATAAAGAGAAGCACAAAACAAAAATAAATGTCATTTACGTACCCTCTAGCTCTCACTCAAGAGTGCAGTAGCTTAAAAATAATCGTAAAATAAAGTTGTCATCAATGCCAAACCGTGCCATGGATATAGTTCACAGTTCACAATGGCACCTGACAAATGTGGCATTATAATTGGTGAAAAAGTTGGTTTAATGTGTCGAGTCCGGATGAGACCGGGAGAAACTCGCTCAACACAGGTACAGAAAAACGGCGACATTTTCTCACGGCAGTGATAAACGCAAACAGTTCTGCGTAACAATGCCATTGTGTTTTGCGCACCTATTTACGCTAAATGGGTGATACAATTTATGTAATGTGGGCATAAGTACACGTTTCAATCCACCAGCGCCCGTCAACTTTCACAGTAACTCATTCAACAGACATGTGTTCTATCACTGGCTTTCGACACTTACATGAACAACTAAAGCTTACCGGAGCGAGTTTGAAAAGGATCTAGTTCCCTAAAATAGAGAGCTCATCGTTCAGTCAGGGTGTGTCATGAAATTCATCAGCCTTTTTGGATTCACAACAAATAAGTAACTGAATTGGATTGGTATTGCAACAGACAAGGTATATACAGGTCATCAAACACGAATATTTCACATTGATATCTGTGAATGTATATTCAGGCCAGCTATCATGTGAACGCATCCCATCGACAGTTCATGACAATTTTGCAACATTCATCGCGTCTATACACACAACGGTTCCGAGCTTCCGATGCTAACTGGTAACTTCTCACACCACTGGTACCGGTTGTGACCAATACTGGACAATCTCACCGTGACCAGGCTTGGGAAAGCCGGTGCGATTATATATCACGACCAGTTAGCTCGCTCCCACACAAATGGAATGTCCAAAGTTCAATCAATGGATCAAACACACGTTGTATCTGAGATATAAGGCTCATGTATCAGGGAAGGGCGAAGGCCCATATTCGCATAGACAATCTTATTGACCGTTAAAAAAAAATAATAATGCTACGAGAATGTCTGTTGGTTAGTGTATTATATTTCTGCGATCGAAAATAGGTATTTGCGCGCTGATCAAAATTTTGTAACTCGACAAAAGAAAACAAAAATTATTTATGAACTTCGCAATGCACGTCCACGCTCTACCTCAGGGTACAATGAGCGATCTACACAGGATATATTGAACGATCTGCACAGGATATACGTATCGAGCGAGCTGCCCATTGTTGAGATTGAGCGCTCTGTCCACTTACTCGATATGGTCCAGGAGCGTTTGATCTGTCTCTTCAGCTGGTCGGCGGGGGCGACCGTGTCGTCCTCACGGCGTCGTGACGGACTCGAGCTGAACTCGTTCATCCATTGCCCGCTGGCCAGCTGAATCTCGCTGAAACAAACACCGAAGCAGAACGTCAGCAGTTGTGTATGAATTTCATTAGCAGGCGCTGAGGAGGTGGTGTGTTTGCGTGTGTTATTAGCTGGACTATGTGAGCGATTGATGTAATGATGTGAAGACAACGGATGACGAATGATGAAGCCTAGAAAGTGCGATTAAAGTTGGTATCATCAATAAAAGGTAAACATGATTGTCGTCTGCGGTTTTCAGGTCAAAGAACACATCAGCAAGGGGAAAAAACATCGACAAACATCAATTTACGGCAACAAAAATACGGCCAGTGACGACAATGATCATCATGACGTCCGTGAAAAGCAGAGTCCTCCTCATCTTTTGTACAAGTTTCACCAAAGAAAAAGTTTTTCTTTCTAAGCCACAGTTAACGTACCGGTAGCTTATTAACGTGATTATCTTTCGTCACTCAATATATTTAGGTACCGTAAAACGGGGTGTTAAGGGACAGTTTTGAGGTGTTTTGTTATATAACTCAAGAAGGGTTGGAGATAGAAGCATCAAATTGTCAGCATTTTATGTGGAATTTGGTGCTTTACATTACATGCCTGCTACATTAAAGTTTTTAAGATTTATACCTGCATATTATTTTTTATTATTTTTCATCACTGTCCCTTAGCACCCCAATGTGGGGTGTTAAGGGACACCTATATTATTCCAAGAAATGGTTATCAAATGCCCACAATTGGGGTGTGGAAGGGCACACAATGTATTTATTGAAATGTTTTGCATTTTCTGTCACTAAACAAGTCAGGTTCATTCACCACTAATGACCTTTTTAGCCAATTACGTGTAATGCAGTTTACGCTTGTGGAAAATGTGCTAATTATAAGGTAAACAGAACCAGAAAGTAATCTTCTGTCATCAATAAAAACCCATGTTGAAGCTAGTCACTTGTCATTATGTTGCCCTCTTTGTTTTAGCCTTTTTATGATGACATCTCATTTACCTACATCAGTCTCCATTGACCCGTCATTGTAAAAGAGAGTGTTGAGATGTTTTGTTACATAACTTAAAGGTAGTGTGCCACCTTTGAAAGATTTCCCATTTTATTTTTCCTAGGATAAGAAGCTTCTGTTTTTACCTAATATCGCAAAAAAAATCAAAAATGGGCCTGGAATAGTGCCTTTTTCGCCTAAAAGTTTTTCGGTTTTTAGATATGTATAACAACTGTAGTGGGCTCACCTGCAAACAGGCGTCGGGCAACAATCGCGAATGCGGCGCACTTGTGACAATAAGCAAAGGTCATTATAGTGTTACGACCATACGACGTACGGGAATGAGTTATCAGCTGTCTAATCGTAGACAACACAATGTCGAGCCTTAAACTGTAAGCCCGTATTGGTATTGTTTCTTTTATTTGGCTGTCGAACATTATTTATGGTTTGAAATATGATTTTATGTAAAATAATTGATATGAAAAAGCCGTCTTATAAGTTATGACCCCATTTCACCACACGCAAGTGGCAGAAATGACAATGATCAGCTGACGCATTTTTCTTGGCCGAAGTCAGAGCGCGCGGCCCGACGCACCACGCGTATTTGGAAATTCCGACCTCGACGAGCATCAGAAGCCACCTAACAGGCGTGTTCGAAACCGCAGGAGATGATGATGAACGGGTTTATCGAAACTTGATTGGATGAGCATATCGGTAATAGCGATTTCAGTGTGTGCATTTATTGTTCATAGTGGTGTGAAATGTGGTTGGGGTACGACCGACAACCCGTTGGGGCGAATTTCGCACTGGGGTACTCAAAATTTGAAGAATTTAAGACGTTTCCATGAGTTTTGAAGGTATGGATAAGTTCTAAAAATCCGGTTCTCCTTATCTGGGCCATTAACTCCATACGGTCCAAGAAAGCTGGCACACTACCTTTAAGATGTGTTAGAGATAAAAGCATGAACTTGCCAGCATTTTATGTGGAATTTGGTGTTTTCCATGCCAACTGAAAGAAAACTTAATCAAATTATATTTAGATATTATTTTTATTTTTTCTCCCCTGTCCCTTAGCACCCCACATCCACCTCAAAATATGCATGTATCCGGAAAAGAGGAAGAGGATGATGAATGAATGGGTGGATTTGCAATGGGTGGAAGTTTTTCAGGAAACATGTGCATTGTGCAACACATGTGACAATACACCTATACATTAATTTTCCCTGTACACCCACTAGTTTATGTGGTACACACAGAGTTTTGGAGATGTTTCAATTTTGTGAAAATGTAGCATGATTTTCAAATCCATTTTTGAACCAAATCACTTGCATGAAAAACCATACCATTCTGTCCTATGGTCAAGAGTAAAACAGTGTCAACTACCACACTGAAGTTTTTATTGAACCTTCTCAAATTAGGAAGTTAATATGACTCAAAGTTTTCCCGTGCAACTGTCCCTTAACACCCCACTGTCCCTTAACACCCCATTTTACGGTATGATTTAGGTTAGCTATAGTCGTGCCCTTTTCATGTTCCGTTTTCAAAATGGTGTAAGAACGGTGCAAGTATTATATTCAATGGAGCGATTTGGTCCTTATACATCGGAGAAGGGGAGGGAGAAGGGTCGGTTGGCCCTCATACACCCGGGTGGGGATGGCCGGAGGTGTGGTGACGAGCTCCAGCACCACTGGGCTCCTCTCTGCCGATTTATGAGCCACCGGTACCTGTCGATGACCGAAGTCATCAATAACGTCAGTGGTGGAATGCGCGGTCGCTGCCGACCAACGGTAAATAATGGCCACGATTAAAATACCATTCATCAGGAAGAAACAAGACAAAGTCGAATTCCTCATGTGCAGCTTCACAGAAGTGTTCTACGAGAACAAAAGAAAATGTGTTAAAACGAACAGTTATTTGATGGTATCTTAGCAAGATTTGCTTCAGACAAACCACCTCATTAACGAAACATGAACAAAATCTCATCGAGAGACGCTCGGGCCTACACAAAGCGGCCTCAATAGAAAGCGGTGGATAAAAGTAACAGCACCCCATTAACCATCGCCGTTCGGACGAGCCAGACATATCACCCAATCACGTTCCACCGGCTATTGGACGATGACACGCCCCCATATACCGCTGATACGATATACCGCTGTATGGGGGCGATGACACGCCCCCATACAGCGATGACACGCCCCCTTTCCGGGCGGCTAATAAGGGGCGATTATGCTGGCCGGCAAAGTGCGTCTGACAGCTCCGACGGAGACGGTGAGAGCCGCACCCGGAGCAGGCCGGATTGTTCACACACAGCGGACGCGACAGCCGAGAGGGGCCGCCCATACGCCAAGGTCGCCGTTGGAGCTCAGGAGGAGCCTCTCAGTGCTCTCTCGTCCACAGTCAGAGCCGGTGAACGGGCGGCCCGGGCGAGGGCGACCTAGAGACGCAGCTGATAAAGCGAGACGGATATTACACGCAGGTGCAGCTACGTGTCAGAAAAAGTGAATTCTGAGAGTTAGTATCGTTTGAGGCTGGTTGGGGATAGATTGGTGAATGCTGGTTCAGGAGCTCAGCTACGGTAAATAAATTACATATGATCTGGGTGACTCGGAGACGTACTCGCCTATATCAATACGTATCAATCGACTGATATACCGCGATCATTGGATCGTTAGAAATCGCGTAGCTTTTGGTAGCCAGTCTGGTTTGTTGGCCAGTCTGACGTCGCCTTTCCACTACCCACGCCTGGCCTGTCGTCGTGTCACTGTAGCGGGAGATTAGCACTGTGTGACAGGACAATGAGTACCTGCCCGGAGACCCGTCACGGCTGGCTCCAGGGCCGGGAACCGGAACCGGCTGGGGTAGACTGGAACGATGGACGAGTGGAGACGGACAGACGGGTCCTGAACTCCTGGTGATGGGTTAAGTCAGAAGGACAGGGTTATTTAACCCAGATGAGCGACTTTGAAGCTTGAATTAGGACGGCTTTGAAAAAGCGTGTTTGAATCATATACGCAACAAGCTTATCAATCAACCACTCGGTGCCCTTATACGGTGAACAGAATTCAGGACAGCTCACTATCGTTAGCGCATTAATCAGATTATCACTCTTTATGAACTGAAAGAATCTCACTTTCCAACCGGGGCCGCTCTAAAAAACAACGCCCTTCACTGTCACTCAACTGGCTGCGCCGCTGTGGTACGATGACGCCCTAACGACGCACCGATGACGCCAATGATAACGGCCGGATGTCTGCGGATGACGTTCCGGTGCCGCCCGGCGGAGTCGCGCTTGGTGACGCCTTGGATGACGCTCGGATGACGCCTCATATGACGCCCTTTGTGCGGGGCAAATAAGGCCGGTGACAGCGCCGTGGAGCGCCGATGACGCAGCGCGCTGGGATGACCGATGACGGGACCGACAGGGCAGACGGAGAAAAGAGGCCACCGCTCGACCAGCTCGAGAGCCACCCAGCCAGCCAGCCAGCGATAGTCAGCCAGTCAGTCCGGCTGGCCGGCATGGTAGTTAGTTTGCCAGCTAGAGAGCCAGCTTGTCCGACAGACAGCTAGCCAAGCAGCTGCAGTCAGCAAGGCAGTCGCAAGCTAGACAGTATACGGCCAGCGCAGTTGGACGGCCGACAAGCCCACCAGTCATTCAGTCATCCAGCCAGCCAAGCAGTCCGACTAGCCAGTCAACAAGCCGGTCAGCGCGACCAGTCCGACAGTCAGCCAGTCATCCAGTCAGCCAGTCATCCATCTGCAGCCACTCCGACTAGCAGACCACTGCTAGCCAGCTGAGAGACAGCCGAGAGCCGTCCAGCGCGGCGGTCCGGCCGCCCAGCCCCGCGGGCAGGCACGCATCGGGAGCGACAGGTAGCGGCGAAGAGGCAGAGGCGGGCGCGGCAGGAAGCGGAGAGCAGGCAGAGGTAGCGGGGGCGGCGAATCGCGTGCTCTGATGGAGAGCAAACAGCTCGCGGCGGGAACCGCCGACGTCCCGACGGCAGCAGCCAGCGTAGACGGCCATGAATGATCGTACCTCCCGTC